CCAGGAGTGGCAACACCCACAGTGATCTGAGCCCTCCCACATCACTCAGCAATCAAGAAGATGCCCCATGGACATGGCCACAGGCCAGTCCAATGAAGGCAAATCCCTAATTGAGGCTCTTTCAACCCAGATGTGTCAAGTTGACACTAAAGCTACCCAGCACAAATATATAAAAACATAGGCCTAAATCACCGTTATATTCATAAATGTAACATTAACAGTATAAGCTTCTATAATGAAAATATAAGTAAAAACATTCAACCTTTATTATTTCTGGTCCAAACCACCAATATACATTGAGTTAAATTGAGATATTAATTGGTCTCTTGGCCTCTTTCTCACCAGTGCATCCCTGCCTTCTCGGTGTCTTTCGGAGGGAGTTGTATTTCTTCCTGCTCGGTATTCCCAATAGCTCTCAGGCTCACTGAAGACAAAGGTCAAAGTTGTGGTGAGGTTTTTGAGGCATCTCTTCTTTTTTACCAGGTTCATGTTTGTACACATCACATTGTCTCTGATGCTCCTCCAGCCACAACAGATTTCTTTTCACAGAAAAACCCAAAGCACACCCCTGCTTTGAGCTCAAAAGATGTGTCCTTAGTATGATCTTATAATCACCCCATTTAAAATTTCAAACCTTCCACTGTACCCAAATCCTCCCAGTTTTTACCCTCTTCCTTCATTTCTTTTCCCCAAAGCACCTCATACCAAACATAATATACTTTTTTTGTAAACAAGGTCTTACCCTGTCATCCAAGCTGGCCTTGACCTCTGGATCCTTCTGCTTCTTCCTTCCACTTGCCGAGATTACAGACATGTACCACCATGTCCATCCAGCTCATAACATAACACTTTTTTTTATTTGGGGTTTGTTTCTCATTTTTTGACTTTCTTTTTGTATTGCTCCATGCCTCTCGTTAGAATGAAAGCTCTACAAGGGCAAGAGTTTTTGTCTGTTATCTATTTATGTTGTTATTGCTGCATCTAAAATGTCTGGTAGGTATGAATGTGTGGTCAGCATTCACTGCCACATATTGTGGGTAAGGCCATCATAGACATTCCAGTCCCTAGTGGAGCCACAGGCTGAATCTAGTTACATGGTAGAGAGCTACTCTTGAAGAGCAGAAAAATCAACCACCCAAGGCCAGCGAATATGCAGAATCATAAGAAATCATCAACTGTTGCTGTCTTAAGTCACAGATAGGAAAAAAACATTTGTTATGTAAAATACAAAGTTTTAATTGGGCAATATTGTAGTTAAAGTTTTGCCTGGAACAGAATAAATGAGTATTTGTGAAATAAGTATTCTTCCCTCTTGCCTATTTCTTTAGGGTATTTGTTATAAACCTACAGAATTCCGTTGTTCCAAATAACTTAAGCGTAAACCTAATTTATTGAAATGCTGAAAACCAGACTCATAAACTGATTAGGAAGGAAAGAATGCTGGTCTGCAGAACACGCTGGCAGTGTGGTGGCATTCCCACACTGAGGGGGTGTCTGCTCTATGAGCAGTCTCTAAGTGTTCTAAGTCTTTGCACATTTTTTCCAGGGCCAGTCATCCAGTCGGTCCCTTCTATGTTAAAGAGCAATGATCCACCTGTCATGGGCCAAGAGAAATAATACATCACTCCGACAACTGCCATGAGGCTGGATCTACCTGTAAGAGGCTAGATTCTGCTGTTTAACTGAAATACGTGCAGTGAGGGAGTCTCAAACCTATAGATGAATCTGGATCACGGACAGCTAGTAACCAAACACTCCAAAATAAAAGTTTTTAAGTCCAATTTGAACTGGCTATTGTATATTTTCATTTGGGTCTTTTCTAGTACTTTCTAACCTTTCCCTGTATTCGCTTATGTAATGACTTTGGTTAAATGAAATTATCATTAAACCACAGTAAATTCATGAAAATTTTAACCAGACCTCTGTTTTCCCCCTTCAAGCAGGCTGTGAACTGTGGTATGCTAGTACATGTACATTGGAATGAGGAGATATGAATGGATTGAGAGGTCTTCAATGAGCTATCTCACTTTCTCAGAGTAACTTTTATCCTAAGGCCAACATAGCATCTGTGTGTGTACCAGTAAATCCACACATTAAAATGGGAGCATCAATGGAAAGCAGATGTCCATCTGACCAAATCATTATTCATTCTATTTCCCACAGAGAAATAGTCACGCATAGTCATAAACTAGAATTCAAATTTATTACACACAAGTATTTTCATTTGGCGAGTGATCATTCCAAGGATGTAAGCCAGGAGCCCTTCTGGCCTATACGCTGCTCTGTAATATGACTACTCTTCTCATCAGATCTGTTTAGTCTAAGCCAGTCTTGTGACCTTTGTGACTTTCAAGTATAAACCCTAAGATGTGGTGCAATTCTTTTGACCTCTTGGAAGTCAGCTTCAGTGTAAGGAATTCTGAGTTACTCAGTTATGGAAGCAACATGAAAAGAAAACTCCTGTAGGCTAAAGTCCATGGGGAAAACATAAGGCATCCTAAAAACAAACAACAAACTCAGCCAGCATTGGGGATAAGTGATGTTGAATATTCCACTCTTAATAGGACATTTATGGCACCCCTTGTAAGACTCAGGAATATGGAGGAAATGTAGGCAGAAAGAATGTCTGAGCTCGAAGACAGGGAGAAAGGCTGTGAAATGCTATCTTCTGGATATGACACAGCCATTGCAGTTGTGAACTCTCAGCAGCTGGGTTTGTCTACTCTGAATCTGCACAAGAACGAACCCATCGGCAGCCAGGCCATCGGTAGAGGAGGGATTCATGGTGCCCTGACTCTTACTACCAACCCATTGAGTATTAATAGATTCTGGGAGAAGGGGAAACATTGCCTTCAACTGTTTACCTGCTGGTGAGTCCACAGGCTCCAAAGGATAGTCCCAAACCCATGGTAACACAGATGGCCCTGTTCACACCTGGTAGATCACAAGACAAAAAAGCATGGATCTAGGAAAAGAACTTGTAGGGAGGATGGAATGTTGATAGCGTGGGAGGGAGACAGAAGAAGGTAGGGGTACAATTAGTTAGGATGCATTATATACATGTATGAAGTTGCCAAAGAATTCCAAATTTAATTAAAACAAAAACAGCCAGCATCAAGTGCCATATATTGAGGGTCAGGCTGTCTTGGATTCTCCAACCCTAGTGAGCCATTAACAGAGTTCAGTCAAATAGTGGACCCTTCAATTTTAGTGTATGTACTGCCAAAGCAAGCACTGTTGACACCTTCAGAAACAAAAAATAAAAATCATATGAACTCAGTCAACATCAGAAGAACCACAGAAAACAATTACTGTTGTCTCAAGCCACAGAAAGTTAAAATATTTATGATGTATTATGTAAATATTCAAAAAAATCTTTTTAATGTTTTCTTTACTAAACAATTGGTAAGTAGCCACCGTCCTTTGGGTTTAAGGAGAAGCACAACAGGTAAAGATTATTTGGCTCTAATTGAGCCATACTAACCAATTCATTCCAAGCCACCTGTGGCCTTGAGCCCAACCCTTTCTCCTTGCTTCAACTTCCTGGTTATGAATGACATCATATATTTCCCATGGCCCACAGTAATTTATTTTATTAGTTTATTTTTCTTTAAAGTCCCATTGTATCTTCTGATTCATCTCTGATCAGTGCTTAAATGGAAAAGGAACAAAGCCATGCTCTCTGATGTTTTGTTTTCCCTTTAAAGACACTGACTACTTTCCTTAGACATCCATGTCTCCTTCCCAACACTGTAATGGAATATTTTGGTCATATTATAAGGTGAGAATTTCAGTCTAATTAGGTGGGGTATGTGTGGCTACAGAAGGATGGTAGAGAAGAGATTTGGGCACAAAAGATTCTACTTTGTTGGCATTGTTTTATTTTTTACTTTATATCAAATTTCACAAAGGTCCTAAATTTCAGAAACATTTCAGATAGTCAATTCAATGTAGTTTGTACATCAAAATTTTAACTTAGGCTATTATTATAATGAAATAATAGCATTTGTTCCCAGGGTTTTTGCTTGTTTTCTTTTGATTTTTACCATTCTGGGAATTAAAGCTAGGACTTTACATTTTTAAAAATTTTAAGTTGCTTAAATATATTATGTTCAGAACACATAACATGAACTCTACCTTCTTTACCATATTTCTCAAGTTTTATGCCCATCGTTTCCAGGACTTTCTTAGTGTTCCTACACTTTCAAAGTCTTTGGTTAAAACTTCAATGATCAGGACACATGAGTCACTTAGTAACACTGTGTACTTCAGTGAGGTCACTTCCTAGAAATTAACGTTTGATATCTGAAGTGACTTTTTTCTCCTGTACCCAATAACCTTACTATTAATTAACAAACAAATCATTATTGCACATCTACTATATATCAGTTCTTGGATTGACACCTTGAAAGAGATTTTAGAAAAATGCAAGCCAGGCACAATGGTTTGTGCTGTAATCTCAGCACTTAGGAGGCTGAGGCAGGAGGATTGACATGAGTTCCAGGTCAGCCTAGACTATAGTAAGAGACCTTGTCTCAAAAATCAAAATGAAATCAAATAGTATTTGATATTATTCACCCCGTAAAATGCTTAACATTCTATTCAAAGGAAAAGGTACCAGGTCAGAACTCTAGCCACGGCATTAGGCAAGAAGCACTCAGTGTCTCTGATCCTCCTGAATACTTAGTCCGTACATCATCTGTGTAAAGACCTTAGAGACATTTCTGACACAATAAGACTTGAATGTACATTGTTTGCTGTCAGATACTCCTAGCCACTGAGAAGTATGTGTCAGCTCAGTCACATATTCTTCATTTCACCACCCACATATGTGGCCGTTTCTACTTGTATTCTTCAATGCAAGCCTCCAATTTTACCTATCATTTTAGAAAATAACCCAAAATACTATCTAAAACATTCGGTATTCATGATTTGCATTATGAAAATACCTGAAATTTTAAAAATGGAAATGTAAAAGTGTTTCCTTTGAAAAATTTATAATATTTACCTTCCAGGGATGATACCATGATTCCAAAGGTGATTTCCCCAGAACAAGGCTCATCCACTGCACTCCAGATGTGCTGACCCCTGCAATTTCCCCAAATGTGGGAAACTCAACTGCACAATTTGTGATACTGACAGTGTTTACTCTGTTATAAAGTGTTTCTGCTTTCCCCTAGAGAAAAATTAAATTAAAAAGTTAAGTTATGCTATCTTTAAATTAAAATGATTATTTGCTTTAAAAACCTTATAAATAAACAAAAGAATTAGAATATGTTGTCATTAAGTTTGGAAGTCCTGAATTAAGCTCTGAGGATACCAAGAGCTATGATTGTACTGTAGCTCAAGGAGCAGTATCGTGACTGTGTATTCAATTTGTAGGCCTTCCCTTCATTAAGGCACATGGATTTAGAAAACAATTTTTGAGAATATGAAGAGATATGTTGTGTATTTCATCTTAGTTACCCAAAACCATAATCTTTGTTTATGTTAGTATCTTAACTGACCATGGTGAAATCTTTAGTCATCTGAATGCCTTAAAAACTGACCACTTGGGGCCAGAGAGGTGGGTCAACAGGACGAGGGACTTACATGCAGGTTTGAGGGCCCAAGTTCAATCCCTGAATCCCACAAGGTGGCAGGAGAGAACAGACTTCAGAGAGGTATCTTCTGCCATCCATACATGGGATGAATGTACCTGTATGCTCACATGCGATCACACACACATATATGCAAGCGGAAAATAAATATATAAATTACTTTTTTTTTTTAGTGAGCACTTTCCCAATATGTATAAGACCATGAGGTTGATCCCCAGCAAAATACACACACACACACACACACACACACACACACACACACACACACACACACACACACACACACACACACACACACACACACACACACAGGCGCTTATTGAATAAATAAAGCTATATTTGCTAGCGGTTTACTGATAGAAGTTGGTCATTAGCAAACTCATCTTAAAGGAGAAGTTATAAGTTTTCATAGGACATTAAATATACACTTGGAGTTGTTTTTAAACTTTAGTGGTGCCTTTTGTAGTTGTTAATTTGGCTTTATTAAATTAATAAGCTTTTCCTTACAGTGTGTACTCAGTTATAAACATTGTACTGAGCAAACGGTCACTGTTCGTAAGCATTTGATAAAGAGTTTTCGATAATTTTTTTTATTCACCATTGTTTGCTTTTAAATGAATATTGCCCCTTTGCTTGCAAACAATGAGGAATGGGGAGGGGCTCATATTTATTTTATCTTGCGCTCTAAATCTAATAATAGTTTATCTCCGTTGTAATTTAACAGGGAAATTTTCCAAAAATAGTCTTACTGAATCACAGGTTGATGAATAAACAACTCTTGTGAGCTTCCAGCCTTTATAACCGAACATTCTAAGATAAAAGAAAAAGACTTTGAAGTTTCTCTATACTGGTAAGCTACTGAATCCTATTTTATCATATGATTGCTATGTTTATATCTGTTCGTTGACATGCTTTATCTTATGTTTTGAAAGAATGGAATTATAAGAAAATATAGAATGAATATACACAGGACAAATTCAAAATTTAAGCACTATAGTTCTTTACAAACAATACAAAATAATTTATCTCTAAAATAAAGATAAAATTCAAAGAAAATCTTTGGTGAAGTACTGAAAATTAATTATTCTAAAATCTTAAAGTATTCTTTGTCTAAGGAGCCCCAGGATTGATACGTTGCATTTTTTTATTTTAAACTGTCATCTATTATTTTTTAAAAATGTGTTAAATGTTCAGAATGGTAATTTTATACATCTTGGATAACAAAATGATACAAAATAGCTCTAATAACTAAAATCTGAACTTTTTTTTAAATGATGGAGCAATAACTTTAAAATTTTTGTGTAATTTGTGAAAAATGGACTACATTTTATAAAAGCATTAGGGACTATAAGACACCAAAGTTTGCAGTATTGAGATATTAAGACTCAGTTCTCTTATTTTTGTTTTTAAGATTTATTTTTATCATTTTTTATTATGTGTATATGTATGTCTGTGTGGAGGTGTGTGTACATAAATGCAGGTGCCTTCATAGGCCAAAGGCATTGGATCCCCCTGAAGGTGGAGTTACAAGAAGTTGTGAGCTACCTGATGTGGGTGTTGGGAACTGAACATGGGTCCTTTGGAAGAGCAATATGTATCTTAACCACTAAGCCATCTCTCCATCCCCTTACTTTTCTTTTGAAAGATTTCTATATAACCTCTTGTCTATGCTATAGCTTGCAAACAAATATATCCGGTTTCTTTTTTAAATTTAAAAAAAAAAATTTATGTGTTTGAATGTCTTGCCTCCATGTATGTAAGTGTACCTGTATTGTGCCTTACCTGCAGAGGTCAGAAGAGGGCATTAGATCTCATGGAACTAGAGTTACTGATGGTCTTTAGCTGCTATGTTGGTGCTGAGAATTGAACCTGGGTCCTCTGGAAGAACAACCAATATTCTTAACTGCTGAGCTATCTCCCCAGCCCCAATACATGGTGTTTCTAAGCCACGTTACAGTTATACCTAAATAAAGAAATGGCCTGACTCTTAGCTTTAGTTTTAAGGCTAAGGGTGGAGCTGAACTCTGACAATCACCTGTTCCTTCTGCTGTCTCATGGAACTGTACTCTGGAGATAGGGCTTCACTCATGCTTTCACTGAAGCAGTTTTTCCGACATCAGTAGGGGAACTAGGAACTAGGATCCATGCTTATCGTATCAGAGAATCTTTCCCTTTGATCCCTACACCTAAAATCACACACACAGTATCAGACTTTTCCATTTTTTCTCATTGCTTTCAATGAGAAACACACTGCTTTCATCACTTTGTTGTGATATGTTAATCAAGCTTACCCACATTTACTCACTATCTTGGGTGAAAGGGCAAGGTGGGGTCCTGAGGGATTAAGGTCAGTTGTCCAGATGCCCAAAAGAGAAGCACATGACTCAGTAATATTTTTGGTTGCAAGGTTAGGTGAAAGCCATTAGTCCAGGTTATACCCATATTGTAAAAGTCATTACTATGCCAAAATATTGTTCATTAAGTAACAATTAGAAAAAAGATAAGTAAAATAGAGCAAAAGGAATGGATTATAATCACTTTAAAATGTTCTGAAGTACTTGAGTTTTAATAGAAATGAAAGTTAATGGTGTTTTCAATTCCCTGAAGGAGCACAAGCAATAATAATGTTCAGATCAATACCTGTTAAAGAGTGAGAAAACTGTGACATTGGTTCTTCCTGCCCAGCCATCCTGAAACGTTTCTGCTACTTCACTGGATAAAGTTCAGTCCATATCTGTCTTGAATCTCCAGCAATACCCTTTATGCTCTCCCTCTCTCTGTCTCTCTCTCTCACCACACACACACACACACAAAGCAAGGGAATCAAATTTGTTAAAACTGGGAGAAGCAGTTCTGAAATGCAGCCTCTCTGCTATGGTGGAGATTTAAGGTTATAACAGAAAAGCAAAACACTCAAGGTTAAAGAAGCTAGCATGGGACTGTGTGCAATTGTAAGCCACATGACTACATGGCTTATGGATATATTTCTAGAAAGACCACCCCTGCATGGCACAGAAGCCAGTGAGCATGGCCAAGATATACAAAACAGTTCCAACCACCGTGCCTCACACGGCACCAATCTAATCTCAAGAACAACTCCAACTTTTAATTTAATTCCACAAATATTTGCATTCAATATTTGTTGTACAAAAGAGCCCATTACTCCGCCAAAAGTCTCATTTTAACAAAAATCTAAAATCTTCATTTAACTGGACAAAATATTTAAGCAGGCTGGGCCTCAATTACTTTGTAAAATAAAGACTGGATTAAATGATATCTAAGGTTTTAAAAGTCTGAACTTGTGGGATTGACTTTAACCTAGAGACAGCAGGTTGTGCTTTGCTTTTAACTAATAATACAACCACAGATTCCATTTTCTAGACGATACATTGGCTGTTAGAAGAAAGGATGTACTCAGGGAGTCAGCAGGACAATGGTTAAGGACACAGCAACAGCATGAGTTTAGGCTGTGCTACTTACATATCACATGATTTGAGGTAGTTACTGTCCCTCCTGGGGCTTCAGTTTCATTTAAAAAATGGGGATAATAATTGCATTACCTAAAATGACCAATAAGTATTTGAAAAGTGTTCAACATTGTAGCAGGGAAGTATAAATTAGAACTACACTGAGATTCCATCTCACCCCAGTCAGAATAGTTATCATAAAAAAATAAATGATATCAAGTCCTAGTGAGGATATGGAGAAACAGGAACATTTATTCATTGTTAATGGGGATGTAAATTGGTACGGCCATTATGGAACTTTCTTAAAAAAAACTAAAAAGAGAACTACCATTGATCCAGCTATAGATTTCTTGATATCAACCCAAATGATTCTGTCAGCATATTACAAAGATGTTTGTACACCCATGTTTATTGCTCCACTGTTCACAATAACCAGGATATACAACCAGCCTAGATGTCCATCAACAGATAAATAGGTAAAGAAAATGTGATACAGGTATATGATGGAATTTTATTCAATTATGAAGAAGGATAAGTTATGATATTTTCAGGAGCATGGATGGAGATAGAGATCATTGTCTTAAGCAAAATAACTTAGACTCAGAAAGCCAGATATTGCATATTTTCTCTCATATGGAAATTTAGATTTAAATTTATGTGTATATATTTATGTACATGTTATGTACATATAGGACATAAAAGTAGAAAGAATTATGAGAGGTATGTGGATGAGTGGGGAGGAGGGAACAAGAGGGCAGTGGAGTACATATGACATGAGAGCAGAAGAAGGTGGTCTTTGGGGGAGGAAGGAACGCAAAAAGGAGGAAGGTACGAAGGCAGTGAGAAGGGGAAAATGAGAGTAAAAACATGGTTATATATGTGTGAAAATATCACAGCGAAACCCACTATTTTGTGTTTACCTTATAAGGTTGCAAAGAACAGATGAGTTAGTATATGGAAAGCCCTTTGAACAGCATCTAAAGGAATAAGTAGTCAGTAGAACTCACTGTTACTGTTCTGAATCAGGGACAGATGTCAGTGGTCCAGATTTGAACCTAAACACTGACATTCATGAAGGAGTTGCTTACT